TGCCTGTAATACTGGCACTTTGGGAGGCTGAGGTGGTAGATCACCTGAGGTCAGGAGTTCAAGACCAGCCTGGCCAACATGGCGAGACCCTGTATCTACTAAAAAAAATACAAAAATCAGCTGGACATGGTGGCGTGCACCTGCAATCCCAGCTACTTGGGAGGGTGAGGCCTGAGAATATCTTGAACCCAGGAGTTGGAGGTTGCAGTGAGCTGAGATCACACCACTGCACTCCAGCATGGGCAACAGAGCGAGAATCTGTCTAAAAAAAAAAAAAAAAAAAAAAAAAATCTAAGGAAAGCTTTATAGTTACAAATACCAGTTTCATTGATCAAGTTTATTATCTTTATGAATGCTATTTATAGAGATAATATGGATGTTTGCCTCTTGGCATCATGGTAAACTGAGGTGATATCACTGGGCTTCCATTTCTTTATTTGTAAATGAAGAATTTGGACAGCTTGATCTCTATGGTTTCTTGCCTTTACACTGTGGCGTGCACATGGACACATGCACCTGTGAAGCCCACTTAAAGACACCCAGCATCCCCTTCGTGAGGCATCAGTCATGGCCCACTCTCTCCCAAAATGTAGAATTCAGGTTCCAGGTGGCCAATCAGCATGTCTGAGGCCAGTCATCTAAGCAGCTCGCCTCTTCACCCAGGGGAGTGCTGTTCACATATAGCCTCCAGCCTTCATTATAGCTCAGGATCTGTAAACAGTGATGGGTACAAACTAAACCAGCTAGTTTGCCCTCAAGGAGCTCCTGCCTTCCTTAGGGAGGGCATTTGAGCCAGTCTTTTCACTCTGTAGGCTAAAGAAGTAACTGAACCCATTGCCTATCTTCCATGGGCCACAGGAAAAAGGCCCACAGGAAGACCAGGTCATAGAGCTACCATTCCAGGCATGAGTTTCCCTGGGACAAACTTGCCATGGAAAGGGCCCAGGAAGGGAAACACATGAGGGCCGGAGTAAAGGGAAGGGGGAAGGATGATGGTTTAATCCCGGTTAATGGTTAATACTGGGTATCCTGAGGGCCTCAGAAGATGGCCCATCCTAGAAAGTTGCCTTCCCACAAGGTCTGTCGGTACTGATCTCATGTGCAGGAAAAAGGAGGATCTGGGGAGGAAGAATAGGCTTGGCTGAGCACATTCACACGTAGGAAAGAAAACTTTGCCACAGTGTAGGAAGGACCAAGTGGGTATGGGGAGCCAATCTGGTCATTGTCCCAACAATCCTGACACATAAAAGGTAAAGAGGAGAGAAAAAATTAGTCATCTAAAATTGATAGAGGTCAAAATTATGGCATCCCAACTGGAAGCAAACTTTGATAGAGCTATAAAGATTGGAAAGTGTTTGTTGTGTGGTCTAAAGCCAGGGGTTCGTTTTCAAAGTATTGCCCGTGGGCCAGATAAGGCCCATCGGTCTGTTTCTATAAATGCGGTTTATTGGAAAATCCATCTTCTCATTTATGTATTACCTATGGTGGTGTTGCAACGGCAGAGTTGAGGAGTTGCAACAGAAACCATCTGGCATACAAAGCCTGATATATTCACTGTTTGGCCCTTTACAGAAAAAAGGAAAGAGCACGTTATTCCAAGTCCTGGATCCACAACTTTGGGTACATACCAGGTTTTGTAACTCACCTTTCAACTTGTTAATTTCTCATCTGTAAAATGGGGGACTATGTTACCTGTGCCGCTAACCACTTAACTCCCTGAGGAGTGAAGACGCTGAATGAAATGAGTGTGAAAATGTACATTAAGATCTAAAGAGTTACGCAGATACAAAGTGTTATTAGGGCTGTTTTGCAAGTATTTGGCAAAAGAGAGAAGACAGAGAAAGTTGTTTTTTCTCCAATGGGGATAAAGAGAAATAAAGTTGGTCAAAGGGCATGTGCACCCCCTCCTCTTTTTTTTTTTTTTTTTGTCAGTTAATGTATAGTTTCTAGTCAATTGAAGCTCGGTTATTAAAGGGAAGAAATAAAATCCACAGCAACCTTGATAAAGGATTGAAGAGATTTGTTAAGAGAGAGGTACAGTCGGAAGGGGTCCAGACACAGATCTGAGGGCATGCTGACCCACCCGGGAGCAACAGAGGGGGACTGAGGGAAGGGAAGAATGAGAAATTTAGGAAATATTGCCTGGGATATGTTTATATGGGCAATTATTCACTGTTTATCTAGAATTCAATTTAGCTGGGCATCCTGTATTTTTATTTGCTAAATGTGGCAACCTTCCCGCACCGTGAGTGGTTTCGGTAGGGCAGCCAATGACACAGCTCTGCTCCCTGATCACAGAGCTTGTTGATGCTCAGTCCTGAAACTCTGAACCTTAAGCAGAGAGAAATAAGGAGAGAAGGCAGTTGGAGCTGATCATGTGATGGCAATGTTCCAGAATGATCTTCAGAGCTGCCCAGTTCTGTCTTTTCCAGGACTGTAGCTCAGGCTTGCTTTTAATTCTGCAAACAAGGCCATTCATTTCTAATCAATCTCTCTGTGTTCCTTAGTGAGGTTGGTTTCTGTTATTTGCCGTCAAAGAACCCTAACCCACTATCTCCAGACACCCAAAACAGTATCCAATAAACTGTGGAGATGGGTTAAGAGAAGAGGGAGGGGAGGAGATGAACTAGAGAAGGCTTTTTTTGAGTGTAGATCTGGACACAGGCAGAGAAGTGTGGGGGGAATGGTGAGAGTATTCTCAGAATCTGGCAAGTTACTTACCTCTGCTATAACAAGAAGAAACAGGGAGCTACTAAATGCTCTTAAGTAGGAGAAGGATTTGATGGAAATGACATTCAATTAAAAAAAAAAAAAGTATTTCCAAAGCTGGCTTTTAAGTGTCTTGGAGGGGAAGAGGGTGGCAGGGAAGCTGGCTGGAGGGGGCTGGCCCTGTGGTCCAAATGATAGTCTAGGGGTCTTGTGTGTAGCAGCAAGGTACTGAGAATGAAGAGGAAGAGAAAAATGGTGAGAGTCAGCTCAGAGGAGACTGGGATTTCTGGTCATGGAGAATTTCCAAGAGCGGGGAGGGAAGAGCTCCAATTGGGTCATGAGCTGCAGTAATTCAGCCGTGGGGCCTCCATGACCATGGGCTTCCCAGGACCTGTGGCTGTAGGGTGGACCCATGGTGAGGGCGGTCTGAAAGGCAGCTCTTGGAGGCCCTTGGGCTGGTGAAACTCGTTGGCTGCGTTACCACTCTGGGGGAGGGCTGCGGTGAGTGCAGGCTGCAGCAGAAAGTGACAGGGATGATTAAAGGGATGGAAAATCAGGCCCATGAAGAGAGGTTAAAGGACTGCAGCTATTTAGCCTGAGGAAGAGAGACAGCCATGTAACCGCTCCTTCCAGTCCATGCAGGGTGACTAGTAGACGCGTGCTAGGCAGCTGCCCGGCACAGCTGCATATGGGGGAGAGAGCACCCCTGGAGTGGGCACCTCTGCAGCAAGGGAAAGGCACCCTCCTGAGGGAGGAGGAGGGCAGAGGCGTAATTATAAAGGCTCTTTTGTGGTTTCTGAAGGCCCCTTTCCCCTCCCCTTTGTTTTTTGCATCTGTCATTATGCTGTGCAAACCACAGCCAGGCCTCTTGACAGCACCAATATCTGCTTTCCTGAACACTCGGAAGGTAATGTGGCTATAAAATTGACAAGTTAGATAAATATGAGTACAAAGGGTAGACTGTGTGGAGCTTCGTGGAGCCTTCTGACTGGTCTCCCAACCCGATCTGGGTAAATCCCCCGTCTGCCTCCCTCTGTTCACCCCCAGCCTCGCTCATTCCATCTGGGCTCCTTCTGATGGACTCCCTAGGAGTTCACATTTGCTCGGCCTCTTTGTCTAATTTGTCACTTTGACAACGTGAAATGTCTTTTATTTCTTCCCAGGTCAAATATGTTTCATTCCACTTAAACAAATTTTTTTAAGCTGCTTTTTATTTTAATTTTTGGCCAGGCCACACTCTTGCTGTCTTGGCTGGGCTGCCATGGCTCTCCCGGAGGAGGCCCCAAAGCCCCTGGCCCACACTCCTGAGATCGCTGCGAGGGTAACTGAGGACCGACTCCTGTGTTGCCCTGATCCTCAGTGGAGGCCATGTGGGTAATATGGTCATGGAAGGAAGGTAGCTTATGAACACCACATTCAGACACTTCAGAAGTGGAGCTGGGCGGGGTGGGATGGGGGATGGGAAGAGTAGTCATGGGGAAGGACAATAGTCAGGATTCACCACCAAAGTGATGGAATCTGGCTGTTCAAAAGCCCAGAGCTAAAATGTATTTGGTTTTGGTCCTGTTGTTAATGAATGGAGGGTGTCAGCGAGCCTCACTCGGTGTTATTAGCACAGTCGCCTTAGTGGGTGAGGAGAAACCAGGGGGCCAAAGCCCCACCAAGAAGTTCTGTTAGGAAGCAGGGAACTCAGACCAGACCGGATGCTCGTGGAGTGACAGATCACATTCACCACCGACAGCTTCCAGCTCGTACCCTAGCAAGGATCGAGGAGGTGTGGGCAATGGGGCTTTTGGGCTTCCTCCGGGAGAGATCGTGGCTTGCTGGCCCCATTACGTGCTGTGGCCAAAGCAGGTGACATGGATGGGGAAGGGGCACGGGAGAGGAGCAGGTAGAGTCTGCTCATTCAGGGATTTCCAGATGAGCTGAACTTTTCCCTAAACAAGAGTAAATGCTCTGTCCCATTCTCCCAGGGGAAGACCATCTCCCATAGGGACACCCTAGGGGAAGGCCTGGCTTGTACTTTCCTCTGTGAGTCCATAGCATGCAGCACAGGGATGAGCCCCCAGCGAGCAGTTGGCTCTGAGGCTGGCAGTTCAAGCAGTGGGGTCTCAGAAACTGCAAGGCAGAACTGCCTGCCATTCTCCAGCCATGACTGCCCTCCTTCGCGTCTGCCAAGTGGGCATGACTGACAGTCACCTCTAGAGCTGTTGCGAATATTGCCTAGCACCGTGTATGACCTGGGTTTGGCATGCTTGGCATGGAGTGAGACCTGATAATGTTAGCTACCATTGTATTAACACTAATTTATTTTTAGTATGACTTGTTGAATGGATGAAGCAAAGGATGAGACTCGACGGGAAGGGCTGGGCTGCTGAAACCTGATCGTTTCTTGCTTTAATGCTGTTCCCTCACTGGTCAGCCTGAGTGGGATTGGCTGGGTCAGCCTTCATTTTACCTTTGATGCCATCTCTCTTTGTGGTAGTTCTTTCTCTTCCTCTTCTACCTCCTCCTCCGCCTCATAAGCAAAGGGTAAGGCACAGTTCTGAATCTAAGGTTCTGCAAAGAGGCATGCCCAACTTTGTGCTCGATTCTGCTGGAAAAATAAGAACAATTCCTATTATGTTCGGTTCCCAGACCTTGAATGTGTCAGGCTTCAGGTTCACTTCCTACATCTCTGCACGTCCCCCGGATCTGCAAGTAATTTAACCTTGTTTTCACAGAGCGCAAAGACGTTCCGCTTGTTTACACTGGAGACAGATTTTCCTCAATTGACGCAATCCTATTGATTAAATAATGACCTTCTTCCTCATTTAAAGGTAATTTCGGTTGGTATCATGATGTGGAGGAAGAAAATGAATGCCTTTTCTGTCTCCCTGCTGAAGGGCAGGCAGTAAGGGCTGCCTCCCAGAGCACTGGGCCGGGCCCTCTCATTTTTCTCACCTGTTCTGGAACCTCATCAGGCGTCGGAGTGAGGCCAGTGCTGGGACCCCTTAAAGAGGCTGGCTAAACAGGACCAGTCTTGATGAGGGAAATTAAAACGCCAGCATTCGTTTGGTAACAGATCTCAAAGCTGGGGCAGAGTAGATGCTACTTCATTTTAAAAATTGATTTGATTTGCTTTCAAGACTTGTGCATAAATTATTTTTCAAGGTCATATCACATGATATGGTCTGCGCACGTCATTTGAGCCAAGGACTTAAAATGAAAGGGAAAGGCAGTGTGCCCATCAGGAAGAACTTCAGGGAACGGCACATGCCAGAAAGGCACAAAGATGAGGGCCTGGGGATGGCCAGAGAGTCACTGGTGCTCTTGGATAAGTCCTTCAACTTCATTTGGGTCTAGATTCCTCATTGGTAAAATAGGGGTGACTGGATCCATGTTCTGTGATACAGTGGAATCTGGAGACCTGGTTATTATTTGCTTCCAATCCAGATCCATGTACTATGTATTTCAATAAGGATAAGACCAGAGATGACATCTGGAAGGATGGGACCTCTGTTGTTCCATTGTCTTTCTATGAGGTCAGGTCACTGCATTCTGCATTAGCAATTCCATTTAAGGACTAGATATTCCTGGCCAGGCATGGTGGCTCATGCCTGTAATGCCAGCACTTTGGGAGGCCAAGATGGGTGGGTCACTTGAGGTCAGGAGTTCGAGACCAGCCTGACCAACATGGAGAAAACCCTATCTCTACTAAAAACACAAAATTAGCTGGGCGTGGTGGTGCATGCCTGTAATTCCAGCTACTCAGGAGGCTGAGGCAGGAGAATAGCTTGAACCTGGCAGGCAGAGGTTGTGATCAGCTGAGATTGCACCATTGCACTCCAACTTGGGCAACAAGAGTGAAACTCTGTCTCAAACCAAAACACCAAAAACAAAAAAAGCTAGATGTTCCTATATGTTCTATAGGAGAATGCATATTTGGCAATGATTTAAAAAATAATTTAGAAAAACTTTGTAAATACTTGGGGATCTATTTCCAAATGTAAATATATAGTGGCATAAATATGGCCAGACAGGAGCTAGACATTAATAAAAGAAAATAAGGTGACATTTTAAAGGTTTTTACTCTGTTATAGGCACATCTAGGCATTCCTTCATTTTCTCTTTACCAGAGGTTGGCAAATATTTTCTGTAAAGAGCCAGACAGTAAATATTTTAGGCTTTGTGGACTATAACATCTTGGTTGCAACAATTCAACTTTGCTGTAGTAGCAGAAAAGCAGCCACAGGTGACATGTAAACAAATGTGTGTGGCTATATTCCAATAAAACTTTATGATTCTGAAATTTGAATGCCATATCCTTTTTGTGTGTCACAAAATATTCTCGATTTTTTTTCAACCATTTAAAACATAAAAACCATTCTTAGTTCATAGGCCTTCCCAAAAATAGGCAGTGAGCCAGATTTGGCCCCATAAGCCACAGACTGCTGACCTCTTTTCTTTATTATAATCCTTAGGAAGGAACTGTTTTACAGATGAGAAAATCAAGGCTTAATGAGGTTAAATAACTTGTCTAGGTTTATCAGTTTAGAAGCAGTAGAGCTGGAAAGTAATTTACAAGGCCAGATTTGGGTTGGGCATGATGGCTCAGGCCTGTAATCTCAGCACTTTGGGAGGCCAAGGCAGGAGGATTGCTTGAGGCCAGGAGTTTGAGACAACTGGGCAACATAGTGAGACTCTGTCCTTATAAAAAAGAAACCAAAAAAAGCAGGCATGGTGGTGCATATCTGTAGTCCCAGCTACTTGGGAGGCTGAGGTGGGAGGATCACTTGAGCCCATGAGTTTGGGGCTGCAGTGAGCCGTGATCATGCTCTTGCCCTCCAGCTTGAGTGACAGAACAAGAACCTGTCTCCAAAAAAAAAAAAAAAAGAAAAAAAAAAAAAAAAAAAAAAAAGCCAGATTCAAGAGCTTGAACACCCACCCTTATATCCAGCTAGAGTAGTAGAAAGTGAAGGACTTTGCTCCCTCTGACTTTGATGAATAATTACAAAATCTTCTTTTTAATCATTCATTCTTTTTCATGGTGGTGGTTTACATTCCAAACATGAGAGCAAGGCTGGTGTCTCACAAGGCCAGGATACTTGGCTAGCTTAGAAATTACATGGGACAATAGCTCAAAAGGTGACTGAGCAGAAGGGACGAGTGAGATGAAGAAAACCAAGAGTCGGTTCTGTGAGTACCAGGATTCAGGGAGAGGCCTGGCCACGCTTGTTTGGCCTGGGGGCTGGCTTAGCTTCTGCATCCCAAGGAGGAGATGCCGTGCCTCTACTTCCCATTCTTGTTCTTGAAGATGAAGCATCTTGGAAAGTTCTCTAATGCTGCCCTTAATGCTTTATTTTCCTTTGAGATGGAGTCTTGCTTTGTCGCCCAGGCTGGAGTGCAGTGGCGTGATGTCAGCTCACTGCAACCTCCACCTTCTGGGTTCAAGTGATTCTCCTGCCTCAGCCTTCTGAGTAGCTAGGACTATAGGCACCTGCCACCATGCCCAGCTAATTTTTGTATTTTTAGTAGAGATGGGGTTTTGCCAAGTTGGGCTGGCTGGTCTAGAATTCCTAACCTCAGGTGATTCCCCTACCTCAGCCTCCCAAAGTGCTGGGATTATAAGTGAGAGCCACCATGCTCCGCCCCCTTAATGCTTTTTAATATTTCAAGAATAGACAGACTTTATCTTCAGAGCTACACTCTCACCTTCCAGGGGTGGCCTGTGTCTTCTCCTGTCCTCTCCACCCTTGGTGTACAGTCTGAGCACACAGAAATGCAACAATGCCAGGTTAGTGAGGACTTTCAATTTTAAAACAGGGTGCTTCAGGAAGTTGTGAGCTGACTACTTCTGGAAGCATCCAGTGATGCTGCTGTCAGCGGACGCTGGTGTAGAGAGGACCATTGCGGGTGGCAGGTGAGAGTGAAGGAGGGTTTGAAGATCCTATCCATCCATGAAATAAACGTTTGTGAGCACCCACCTAATGCATGTTAGATGCAAAGCCAGAAGCCTAAACATAAATGATTTCTTTTGATTTCTACAATTAGTGTCTGAGAGGCATGTGATCCTATTGTTCCATGGAGGAACTGAGGCTCAGAAGAGCTTGTCTCTCTCTCTCTCTCTCTCTTTTTTTTTTTTTGAAGAGATGCAACCAGCTGGTGGCAGAGTCAGTGTAGTCTGCTCCATGCTTTCCATCCAGCCCCTGTATCGGGCTGTGCAGAGAAATGGGCTGCAGTTCTTGCTGTGACCCTCGCGAGATCTGTGGCTTGAACAAGTTATCTGAACTCTCTGAGTTTGTTTCTTCGTCTGTTTAAGGATTGACTTTTGGAGATTTGTCATGAAACAAAAAGAGATATTACATAAAGGTGTCTAAAAGAGTGGCAGGCATGGTGCAGGTTACAGTTGCTTTCCTCCTCCTGCTTCAGGATGATTTGGTTTTGTGAAGTTGACTGAGTAATCAATCTTACTCAGTTTGGGATCTTCAGGGCCTAGCAGAGAGCCAGGCATGGAGCAGACACTTAATAAATATTTGTAAAATGAATGCATACCCAATGCTTATATCTACTGATGCCAACCATCTGGATACTCAAATGCTTCAACATGATGGGTTCTTGACTTTTCATCTAAATGTTGGATGTCATCTTAAAATATAAGCAGCTAAAATGATCTGAAACATAAATATGAACACAGTGAGGTCTCACTGATGCAGATTCCTTGGAGGGAATGTGTAAATCAGTGAAAGTCTGCATAGGGCTGTATTTAAGGAAAGTGTTATTTTCAAATAACTCCGGCTAAGTCACTAGGTTTATTTATTTACCATCCATCTATCCATTGATGTAATCAGTCAACAGTGGCCTAGAGGGGCTCTTTGGGCCTCCTTTAATAAATAAGGAAGAAAGATTATCTGCAGCATGCTGGTTATTTGTAGATAAATAGAAGCAGCTCAACTGCTTATGGGAGCTTGGAAACAGTCCGTGCTTAAGTGTTTTGGACATTCCTCCAATATCCTGCATATGCTGTTTCTGTGCCTTGTCTCTGAAGAATCTTTATGCTAATTTACAGTCATATTCTTTTCTGCTAAGAGGGTTGGGAAGGCAGAGAGCTTCTGTTTGTTGCCTCTGAATGTGTGCAGCTCATGTGAAGAGGAAGAGCCAACATAGGGGCTCAATTCCCGAGGGAGAATCTCATTCTTGATACTGGAAACAACTTATTGAACTTAATAGGAATAAAAATCCCATGAACTAGATAAGGCTGGGCCATTATTCTTGGAATTGAAAGCTGGATGGAAGGGCTTCTTTTACAGAAATTATTTTTGATGACTCAGGAACACAGCGATACCTGCGGGTCTACTGAAATGTACATGGCTGTTTACCTCTATACTGAAATGACTCCAGGTTTCTATGCTTTTGGGATTCCTATTTGTGCTTTTGTTGCTATTGTGTGTCTTTCAGCTGTGGCTGACTATCACTTTTTTGATTCCCAGTATGCCTATCACTAGCAGTTCCCCATCTTTCTTCCAATTTGTTGCCTGCTTCCAATATTCCAGCGACCAAAAAAAAAAAAGGTAATAACAAAAATTCAGAGTAAGCCTGTTAGAGCTGTTGAATGAAAAGAATCCATATGAGTCTGAAAGGCCTTTCTGTGATTACACGGCATGAACTTTGGAATCGGGACATTGTGAGGTCTGTGGTGGCTGTGTGAGGGTCTTTTCCACTTCTCTGTCCTTGACTGTCAGCTGGAGAGGTGATTTCAGGATTGGTGAGACACTATTGCATGTAGATCTTACTATGGCAACCTCAAGGCATTCCTCTGACGCAAGGATGTGATTTCACTTCTCAGGGGAGCAGACTGAGGGGGATACAGGAAAGCATAAGGTCGGCCCTCCATGAGGCATGGCCCTCAGCATCATCCTAAACGAAATGGCTGGCAACCAGCCCCATTGACTACTCCCTTATTACAATTTTGGAGCTTTTTTTTTTTTTTTTTTTTTTTTTAAACTCGCTCTGTTGCCCAGGCTGGAGTGTAGTAGTGTGATCTCAGCTCACTACAACCTCTGCCTCCTGGGTTCAAATGATTCTCATAACTCCAGGTGTGGTGGCACATTCTGGGA